GACGGCTGTCATTTCAGGTGACTCTACGCAACCCTCCCCCACCCCTTTTCACCTCCTGTCCCTCTGAATCCAGGGTCAAGCTAAGCCCCTCCCCTTCAGACCCAACCCAACTATCCATTCACCACCACCAGGGTCAAGCTAAGCCCCTCCCCTTCAGACCGAACCCAATCATCCATTCACCACCACCAGGGTCAAGCTAAGCCACTCCCCTTCAGACCGACCCCAACCATCCATTCACCACCACCAGGGTCAAGCTAAGCCCCTCCCCTTCAGACCGACCCCAACTATCCATTCACCACCACCAGGGTCAAGCTAAGCCACTCCCCTTCAGACCGACCCCAACTATCCATTCACCACCACCACCAGGGTCAAGCTAAGCCCCTCCCCTTCAGACCGAACCCAACCATCCATTCACCACCACCAGGGTCAAGCTAAGCCCCTCCCCTTCAGACCGACCCCAACTATCCATTCACCACCACCAGGGTCAAGCTAAGCCCCTCCCCTTCAGACCGACCCCAACCATCCATTCACCACCACCAGGGTCAAGCTAAGCCCCTCCCCTTCAGACCGACCCCAACTATCCATTCACCACCACCAGGGTCAAGCTAAGCCCCTCCCCTTCAGACCGACCCCAACCATCCATTCACCACCACCAAGGTCAAGCTAAGCCCCTCCCCTTCAAACCGACCATCCATTCACCACCACCAGGGTCAAGCTAAGCCACTCCCCTTCAGACCGAACCCAACTATCCATTCACCACCACCAGGGTCAAGCTAAGCCCCTCCCCTTCAAACCGACCCCAACCATCCATTCACCACCACCAGGGTCAAGCTAAGCCCCTCCCCTTCAGACCGAACCCAACTATCCATTCACCACCACCAGGGTCAAGCTAAGCCCCTCCCCTTCAGACCGACCCCAACCATCCATTCACCACCACCAGGGTCAAGCTAAGCCCCTCCCCTTCAAACCGACCCCAACCATCCATTCACCACCACCAGGGTCAAGCTAAGCCACTCCCCTTCAGACCAACCCCAACCATCCATTCACCACCACCAGGGTCTAGACCCCGGGGGGTTTCATCGGATCGGTTCTCCCCTCCCGAATGATACTCCTGCACAACGGGGCCTAATCGCCAAAACTCCATTACATTCATTTGTGTATTCCTGGCAATAAATATGTATTCTTATCAACACCGTCTCTCCGGATTGAACTGAGGCCCCGCTCACACGGGACCGTTTGCGTTTATGCACAGTATGCGTATTCAAAAAAGTCTTCCGTTCACATGCATTCGTTTCATTTAACGTGTCTGTTCAAACGAGGCCGCTGGAAACGCTGTAGTACATATGCCGGTACTGTAAGTGGCGCTGTAACTTCCGCCAAAATACACCAAAAGCCGCGAAGAAGAGCAGCCCGAGCAGCCCCGCTGCAATGTTGCCATGGGTACCCTTCTGTTTATGCCCCGCGGTGTATTTAGCAACATGTAGTTCATGTAATTCTCCATGTCCACTTGTTGCTGATGGTTGTGGTAGAGGAGCTGTAGATTTTGCACTAATATCTGTAGCATGGTCAGTAGCAGTAGCACTAGCAGTAGCTACTGACAGGAGGAAGTGTGTGTGGCGATTGCTGGTATTCAGCGGGATATAGTCATTTCCTCAGCATATGGATAAATGCAACGGGGAAGTTAACTGAAAGAAACCGAATCTGTGGATATTGCATCGACCGACCATGAAGCACGTCTCCGTGGAGAGGACGCGCTCAGAAAGAGAGATATTCTCTACAAACACCGGGTGAGATCGCTCCTCTGGGACACGCCGGTCCTCTGCCTACAAACATTTCTCTTTTTGCCACCGACGGGCGCAGGAGCAATGAACAATAATGGCCTGGATTAGGCAGTAAAGACAAGTTTGGTGTATCGCAGAGCGGACTTTTTAATTTTGTTTGTGTTGTTTGGCTGGAAAATTGTCAATATAATGGATCAATGCATGAAATCTGACTCTGTTTATTTTGTTTAAGGAGTATATTGGGCGTTAACAATTCTGGTTTGCCTTTTATAATATTATTTCATTCAAGAACCCCTTGTGCGTTTAATTAACACAGCTATTTTTGATAGTTGCTGCAGGAGAGGTGGGGAGAGGTGGGGAGAGTGGGGGCTATCGTTATTTTTTCAGGAAATATTCGTATAGAGGTGATTACACGGACTCGGTTGACCCCCCAGAGCGTTTCGTTTGCAAATCTATCCACCTTGGGACCCGTTATCGTTTGTGGGGTCAGTTTCTATCGGCCTCGTGTAAATAATAGGGCTATACGCACGTGAAACTATGCAGATACAAGCAGTTTTCTCCTCGTGTAAACGGCGCCTAAGATTAGTCAGAAAGTGTTTCCACTTTAATTGACTGGGCTCATTAACACATGAATACTACTGAGTGATATATGTTTACGTCATTATTTAAAACAAACACAAGTTTCATGTGTGGGACATACCTCCATTATACTTTTTGAATCAACTGAGGGCCATTTCCAAATGGACAACGAGCCGCAGTTTAGACCCCCCCCTGATGTAGTTTGTCGATATGGAGTGGTGTAGATAAGTAGTAGAGTACTGCATCATATATATTTAAAATCAATTAGTGTTATATAAATTCAGTAGAGTGCAATATTGGCCCTGGGAAATGCATAAAGTAACAGAGGTGGAAGAAGTACTCAGATCAAGTAAAAGTCAGGTGAAAAAGTATAACTATAAATATGGTTTTAAATACTATAGTACAAGTACAAATCCTCAATGTAATGTGTTATTTCAGGAAAAGTGCAAAATGTCTAGCAGAGGTAAAAGTACTCCATATGGCTAGACTAGAATTCCCCTGATGTGCAATAACTCTGTAAATATAATACTTTCTGCAATATACCCTCCTGCAATTTCACATGTATTACCATGCTGTACATATCTGCTGTTTCGTGTCCGACTTATTGTTGTTATTAATGTGTGCATACAGTCAACAACCAGGCCCCCCCCCCCCTACCTCACAGACCTGCTGCACCACCACACCCCCCCCCCCCCCCCCCCCCTACCTCACAGACCTGCTGCACCACCACACCCCTTCCCGCTGCCTCCGCTCATCAGAAGCCAAACTCCTATCCATCCCCCCCCGCACCAAGCACAGGACCTGGGGGGACAGAGCCTTCTCCGTCGCTGCCCCCTCCCTCTGGACCTCACTCCCACAACCCTCACTCCATCTGCTGTTTTAGTCGTGTGCATTCCCCCGTTGAGGGACAAAAGAAGGATTTCTGATTCTGATTATATTGTACTAATGTTATAAAATACTATATTATAAAATAAGCTTAACAGATTGACTACATATTGAGCAATGCAGGCATGGGGACTTCTTAGTGAATCTCACACAGAGCTGGAAGAAGTACCTGGCGCTTTATCTTAAAGGGGACCTATCATGCTATATTATAATAATATAGTGTAGGACCATACCTATATAAGGCATATTTATACTTTTTCAAAATACCAAACAGATCATGCATTTTAGCCATGCCTCATTTCGCTCAATTTGACATTTTTTAGCTCTGCTCTGCAAGGGCTGATTCAGTGAGAACAGCACCACCTACAGGCCTGGCATATGTACTACAGCGTCTCCAGCGCTTTCGAACGGCAATGGCCGTGGCTGTCTCCTCCTGATTGGTGGAGTTGGCCCAATAGCCGTAGCGCCACCGTCCTGACGTCAGGACAGTGTTCAAATCTGGATCAGTTTTTATCAGATCCGTTGCAGCCCCTTTTTTAGAGATTTGGGTATGGAGGAAAATAGAGAGGGTTGTGTTTTCTGACACTTGGTGAGTTCCCTGGAACACCGGGGACACATATTCATGTAGAAAAGACGTACACAAGTGCATTTTGCATGATAGGTCCCCTTTAAGAAATACTGCATAAAAATAACTGGTTGCAAGTCAAAGTCCTGCATTTAAAGTAGTACTTGAGTAAAAGTACAAAGTGTTATCAGCGACTAAAGAGCAGAATGGAAGTGACAATAAACTGACAGAACAATAATACCAAACAGACCAGCAGCCGTAAGTCAAATTCCTCATTAAACCTGAACCTGGTCCTGATACAGGTCCAGAGAGACTTATTGACACAACAGCCTCCATTTCTGATGACATGAATGTCACCTGTATTTCCATCCATATACTGACTCGGATAAAAACACCTGAGATCCAAAGTGCCTTTCAGGTCGTCACACGGTGTCCAAAGCATCCGATTCAAGGACTTTTCAATGACTTTTCAAGCTAAATGTAGGAGGACTAAAAACAACATATATGCAGACGCAGATCAGAGTTAATTATGGTTTCATCAATGAGAATGTTTATAATACAATGTGCAGATTTTCTTGCTATTTTTAAGCCGTTTAACCTGAAAAATGCACTTAATTCACTCATGCATCGAGGCACGTGTAAAACAATACAATAATGACACACCTGCAGGAGATGCATGCAGATAGTGGATAGTCAAGAATAAATACAAATATTAATAAATAATTCAAATAAAAACATTAAAACATATTAAGAAATACATTAAAATAATAATAAATATTTCAAATAAAAGAAATATTAAAAAAAAATATATATATTAATAATAACAATAGTTTCAAATAAATACATTTAAAATAATAATAATATATAAATAATGAACCTTGCACATTCAAGCACCTTTAAGGATCCATACCATTCTCAGAAACGTCTCAAACTACAAGCATTTTATTAATTATTAGAGGATGCAAATGCGTGCAATCTCAGGTTCAATAATAATCCTAAACTAATTTGTAAAACATTTAATCTTCACTTTACGGTTTCCCAATTTACTGACCACAAAAACGATATGGATGCTGACACAAATGGATACGAACAGGCAAACACAATAAAATAAAAATAGCCCCCACTTGTTGTAAAAATAACCTTAAAAAAACTAATCTGACTTTTTGAAGAAAGAACTGAACATTACGTACTCTGAGCTGGAGGGTGTGGCGGAGGATGGTTCCCTCTAAGGCGTGGATCCACTTCTCCCGCTCGTCTGCATCTCGGGCTGAAACACACACACACACACTGTGAGCCACTTTTTCCATACACACACACTTTAGGAGCGATTACACTGGGATTACACACACACACACACACACACACACACACTAATGACACAACACTGGAATGACATGAGGACACAGTGAGGGACGCTGAGTATTCATTGAGGAATTATTAGAAGATAGACAGCAAGTAAACACTAAAGGGAACAGCAGAAGAAGACAGACAGCAAGTAAACACTAAAGGGAACAGCAGAAGAAGACAGACAGGAAGTAAACACTAAAGGGAACAGCAGAAGAAGACAGACAGGAAGTAAACACTAAAGGGAACAGCAGAAGAAGACAGACAGGAAGTAAACACTAAAGGGAACAGCAGAAGAAGACAGACAGGAAGTAAACACTAAAGGGAACAGCAGAAGAAGACAGACAGGAAGTAAACACTAAAGGGAACAGCAGAAGAAGACAGACAGGAAGTAAACACTAAAGGGAACAGTAGAAGAAGACAGACAGACAGGAAGTAAGCACTAAAGGGAACAGCAGAAGAAGACAGACAGGAAGTAAACACTAAAGGAAACAGCAGAGAAGAAGACAGACAGGAAGTAAACACTAAAGGGAACAGCAGAAGAAGACAGGAAGTAAACACTAAAGGGAACAGCAGAAGAAGACAGACAGGAAGTAAACACTAAAGGGAACAGCAGAAGAAGACAGACAGGAAGTAAACACTAAAGGGAACAGCAGAAGAAGACAAACAGGAAGTAAACAGGAAGTAAACACTAAAGGGAACAGCAGAAGAAGACAGACAGGAAGTAAGCACTAAATGGAACAGCAGAAGAAGACAGACAAACAGGAAGTAAACAGGAAGTAAACACTAAAGGGAACCGCAGAAGAAGACAGACAGGAAGTAAGCACTAAATGGAACAGCAGAAGAAGACAGAAAAACAGGAAGTAAACAGGAAGTAAACACTAAAGGGAACCGCAGAAGAAGACAGACAGGAAGTAAGCACTAAAGGGAACAGCAGAAGACAGACAGGAAGTAAACAGGAAGTCAACACTAAAGGGAACACGGTATGGTACTAGAAAAGTATGTAAAATCAATATTGTGATTGAAGCCGTTGGTTTCTTTACTGTGTAGCTGTGTAATAAGCGTGATAATATGCAGCGAGGCGGTCATTAACGGAGCAATAAGTGTGTTGCATAAACTGTCAAACTGTTCCTTTAATTTACACGGAGGAGGTAAAGCTCCTTCAGAGTTAAAACTAATCCTGTTTCTGTTTCACATGAAGTCTTTAACGAGGCTGCACCCTCAGAGCAAAGAGAGAGAACAAACACAGCGAGTTAAATCAAACACACACACATACAGTCTCAAACACACACACAGTCTCACACACACACAGTCTCAAGCAGTCTCACACACAGTCTCACACACACAGTCTCACACACACAGTCTCAAGCAGTCTCACACACACAGTCTCAAGCAGTCTCACACACAGTCTCAAGCAGTCTCACACACACAGTCTCACACACACAGTCTCACACACAGTCTCAAGCAGTCTCACACACACACAGTCTCAAGCAGTCTCACACACACACAGTCTCAAGCAGTCTCACAAACACACAGTCTCACACACACAGTCTCAAGCAGTCTCACAAACACACAGTCTCACACACACAGTCTCAAGCAGTCTCACACACAGTCTCAAGCAGTCTCACAAACACACAGTCTCACACACACAGTCTCAAGCAGTCTCACAAACACACAGTCTCACACACACAGTCTCAAGCAGTCTCACACACACAGTCTCAAGCAGTCTCACAAACACACAGTCTCACACACACAGTCTCAAGCAGTCTCACACACACAGTCTCAAGCAGTCTCACAAACACACAGTCTCACACACACAGTCTCAAGCAGTCTCACACACACAGTCTCAAGCAGTCTCACACACACACAGTCTCACACACAGTCTCACAAACACACTGTCTCAAGCAGTCTCACACACACACAGTCTCACACACAGTCTCAAGCAGTCTCACAAACACACAGTCTCACAAACACACAGTCTCACAAACACACAGTCTCAAGCAGTCTCACAAACACACAGTCTCAAGCAGTCTCACAAACACACAGTCTCACACACAGTCTCACAAACACAGTCTCAAGCAGTCTCACACACACACAGTCTCACACACAGTCTCACAAACACACGGTCTCAAGCAGTCTCACACACACACAGTCTCACACACAGTCTCAAGCAGTCTCACACACAGTCTCACAAACACACAGTCTCAAGCAGTCTCACACACACACAGTCTCACACACAGTCTCACAAACACATGGTCTCAAGCAGTCTCACACACAGTCTCACAAACACATGGTCTCAAGCAGTCTCACACACACACAGTCTCAAGCAGTCTCAGACACACAGTCTCAAACACACAGTCTCACAAACACAGTCTCAAGCAGTCTCGCAAACACACAGTCTCACACACACACAGTCTCACACACAGTCTCAAGCAGTCTCACAAACACACAGTCTCAAGCAGTCTCACAAACACACAGTCTCAAGCAGTCTCACAAACACACAGTCTCACACACAGTCTCACAAACACACAGTCTCAAGCAGTCTCACAAACACACAGTCTCACACACAGTCTCACAAACACAGTCTCAAGCAGTCTCACAAACACACAGTCTCACACACAGTCTCACAAACACAGTCTCAAGCAGTCTCACACACACACAGTCTCACAAACACACGGTCTCACACACAGTCTCAAGCAGTCTCACACACACACAGTCTCACACACAGTCTCAAGCAGTCTCACACACAGTCTCACAAACACACAGTCTCAAGCAGTCTCACAAACACACAGTCTCAAGCAGTCTCACAAACACACAGTCTCAAGCAGTCTCACAAACACACAGTCTCACACACAGTCTCACAAACACACAGTCTCAAGCAGTCTCACAAACACACAGTCTCACACACAGTCTCACAAACACAGTCTCAAGCAGTCTCACACACACACAGTCTCACAAACACACGGTCTCACACACAGTCTCAAGCAGTCTCACACACACACACAGTCTCACACACAGTCTCAAGCAGTCTCACACACAGTCTCACAAACACACAGTCTCAAGCAGTCTCACACACAGTCTCACAAACACACAGTCTCAAGCAGTCTCACACACAGTCTCACAAACACACAGTCTCAAGCAGTCTCACACACAGTCTCACAAACACACAGTCTCAAGCAGTCTCACACACAGTCTCACAAACACACAGTCTCAAGCAGTCTCACACACAGTCTCACAAACACACAGTCTCAAGCAGTCTCACACACACACAGTCTCACACAGTCTCGCAAACACACGGTCTCAAGCAGTCTCACACACACACAGTCTCACACACAGTCTCACAAACACATGGTCTCAAGCAGTCTCACACACACACAGTCTCAAGCAGTCTCAGACACACAGTCTCAAACACACAGTCTCAAACACACAGTCTCACAAACACAGTCTCAAGCAGTCTCGCAAACACACAGTCTCACACACACACACAGTCTCACACACAGTCTCAAGCAGTCTCACAAACACACGGTCTCAAGCAGTCTCACAAACACACAGTCTCAAGCAGTCTCACAAACACACAGTCTCAAAACACACAGTCTCACACACAGTCTAACAAACACACAGTCTCACACAGTCTCACACACAGTCTCACAAACACACAGTCTCACAAACAGATAGATAGTACTTTATTGATCCCAAATTGGGAAATTGTTGAAACATAGTCACAAGCAGTCTCACAAGCACACACAGTCTCACAAACACACACAGTCTCACACACACAGTCTCACAAACACACAGTCTCACAAACACACTTTTTGATTCAGAAATAGAATATTTAGTCCTCTACCAACAAGGCAAGTTACACTTATTTTTTAAATGCTAATATTTGTTGTTGTTTTGGTCTGAAAAAAAGTTTTTAAAATGGTCAATCAGTCCTTAAAAAATAGCGAAGGAAATATGGAAGGAAAATACATAAATAAATACATTTTAAAAACATGTTTCAATTAAATAAATTAAACTGTAGGGCTTTTTACATTTTACTAACTGTAATACCTTTTTTAATACAGTACCAGGTTATTAAAAAAAAATCCAGTAAATACAGGAGAATCTTTGTGTTTTAACGATCTGCAATGGATGGTCAGACAGCAACTCCAGAGGCTGTGAAAGAAGGACTTAATCAGACACGTGTTACTGAATTATCTGGCAAACTATATCCTGTGTAAGAGTCATTTTTCATTGAGCGGGATGCAGCAGATGAATGGCGGTGCTACGGCAGAAAGAAAGCTTTTAAAGACATTAAAAAGGGCGGCCGAGGCTCGAGTCAATCCACTCAGACAGCTCGTCTCTCTCAGAGGAGCAGATTATTACTGATGCTGCTCAGCTCTGTTCAGAAGCTGTACTTGTAAAACACTGTACTGTATGAACCTAGAGTCCAATCTGTGTGTCACACGTACGCCATGATTTATCTTCCTGGGTAGGTGTCGACTCAGCAAGGCTTCATGTTCAATATTTTTATAGCATGGAGCAGGAATGAGTCCTAAAGCCCTAACATGACTCAGCATGTATGCACTTTCTGTCCCCTGGTCTGGAAGTCAATGTTTTATCGAATGTGTTTTTGGTTCCTGAAATAAGGTCTGTGGTTAACAAGTTGAAAAGATTTGTTTTCCCCTTTATAGCCCAATATTAGCCGCCTTTAGCTTAGCGGTGGTGACGTGAAGTCATGTGACCGTGCTGTAGTTCCTTTATAGCCCAACATTAGCCACCTTTAGCTTAGCGGTGGTGACGTGAAGTCATGTGACCGTGCTGTAGTTCCTTTATAGCCCAACATTAGCCACCTTTAGCTTAGCGGTGGTGACGTGAAGTCATGTGACAGTGCTGTAGTTCCTTTATAGCCCAACATTAGCTTAGCGGTGGTGACATGAAGTC